ACACGCCAATTAAAAGCGCCAGGCGCTTATCCGAGGGTGGCGCTTATTTCCGGGGTATGACGGTACTCCGATGTCAGAATGTTGTAATTGTCTAGCCTGCAGTGGGGTACTCTATAGCGAGTACAACCCAAATTAGGGTTTCCTATATGTACCTTGCATGCTGCTAGTACAAAGCCCTCTTCTCTGTTCTATCTTTCGCCCTACTATCTCGATATGGTAACAGAGCGTTCACGCTCCTGGCCTGTGGGCCCCACTGCTGCTTCCGCTGCCCTACTCTGTGTCGCGCGCCCCGTGGCGCGCGACCTTCACATTTTCATCCCGCCGCACGCCCCGAGCGCGCGCGGCGGTTTCCTGCCGTGGGGGAGCCCGCGCGCGCCCGCCCGTCCGTCGTGGCGCCCTGGGGAGCACGCGCGGCCCCCACCTTGCACGTCGCGACGCCCTGGGGAGTCCGCGAGCGCCCCGCCCGTCTGTCGCGACGCCCTGGGGAGCCCGCGAGCGCCCCGCCCGTTCGTCGCGACGCCCTGGGGAGCCCGCGAGCGCCCCGCCCGTCCGTCGCGACGCACTGGGGAGCCCGCGAACGCCCCGCCCGTTCGTCGCGACGTCCTGGGGAGCCCGCGCTCGCCCCGCCAGTTCGTCGCGGCGCCCTCGGGAGCCCGCGTGCGCCCCGCCAGGCCGTCGCGGCGCCCTGGGGAGTTGCGCGCGCGTCCCCCCCGCCCGTCCGCCGCGGCGCCCTGGGGAGCAGCGCGCGCCACCCCCCTCCACCCGCCCAGCCCATCCGTTCTGGCGCCCTGGGGGTCGCGCGCCATCCCCCCTCACCATCCCCCGCGCTCCTGCCCCTATCCCACCCGTTTTAGGGTTTGGGGGTGAGGAGTGTGGGGGTGGCAGCTATGGGGGTGCCGTGTGTGTGCGCCGTCCCCTGCTCCTCCTCCTCCTCTGTCTCCCACTGCTGCAGCTGCCGCTGAGGGGGGTGGATGTGTGGGAGCCGAGGTTTAGGGTTTAAGGGGGGTGTCGTGGAAGTGGAGCTAGGGTGTCAGCAGGGGGTGTGTGAGAGGGGCGTGGGACGGTCGGGGGAGGTTGCGTGGAGGTAGCCGTCGTGACGCTAGCAGCGCCAGTAGTCCGGATGCCCTCGCGCGTTTCGGTAGCCCAGCGAGCCTGCTTCGCCAGTCGCCTGTGGGTCAGTTGCTCCTGTGTGTGCTCGTCGTAGCCGCGGAGCCAGATACTCCCGTAGTCCGGTGCCCTCGTGCGCTCGGTAGCCACTGTGCACGCCGCTCCTGTTGCCCGTTGTGTCTGCAGCTTCGCCCATCGCCTGCAGCAGATCGCCCCTCACAGTCTCTCCTCCTCCTCACTTGCCCTCTGTGACTGCCTCTAGCTTTACTTGCATTTGTGGACTTGATCTATGACTGGTTATTTGTGCTGATTACACCCCACTTTGGCTATGGGGGTGTGTCAGAATGTTGTAATTGTCTAGCCTGCAGTGGGGTACTCTATAGCGAGTACAACCCAAATTAGGGTTTCCTATATGTACCTTGCATGCTGCTAGTACAAAGCCCTCTTCTCTGTTCTATCTTTCGCCCTACTATCTCGATATCCGAAACTTGTAAATGTGCAGCACAACATTAGTGTTTCCGTGTTTAGAAAGGTGCTTCACAATTGAGTGTTGCAAACGTGTTAGTGCATTCACACGATTCCGTGTATGAGGAGGTATTGACAAAACGCACCGAATATAAAGTTATGTTATTATTGGACAACTCAGGAAGAGTCACCCTGACCGGTCAGCACAATTGGTTGTGTCTTTCCTAGCACAAGGCTCATGTCTGATGTAGTCGCCATGTAATTTACTACTCTCACATCTGATGTCCAATTAGCAGGACGGTGCCTCCCAGTCTCAACAAAGCGAGCTAGGATGCTCAGAGGAAAAAGCGAGGTCCGAACGAGTACAGGTCAGCAGGTACATGGGCAACCCACAAGCTGTGAGGGAAAGATGCTGTATCCGTAAGACATGGTGCCGTAGGGGAGGGGAAGGGGGGGGAGGGGGGGGGGGGGGGGTTTGGGGGAGGGACGGAGGGGATAAGGGAGGGAGTTTTCTGTCAGAATGTTATTATCTAGCCTGTAGTGGGGTGCTCTATAGCGGGTACAATCCAGTTCGGGTTGCTATATGTATCCCAACTGCTGCTAGTGAAACCCCTCTCCTTTCTTCAATTCGATTCCTGCCTAGTAATTCTAACATGGTATCAGAGCAGGTCGACCCCCTTGGGTCGATCCTGTGGGTGGGCCCGCCACCTAACTGCTTCCGCTGCTGTTATGCTTCTCGCGCGCCTCGGGCGTGCGTCGTCTTCTTCCTGCCGTGCGCTCGGGGCGCGCGGCGAGTTTCTGCCCGCCGTGCGCCCCGGGCCGCGCGGCGGTTTCCTACCGTGGGGGTTGCGGAGAATACTATTCTACGGGAGGGTTTGACTAGCGTGGGACACACAGTCAGAGTTCTGGCAGTGATTCTCAGGAGTGAACTTAGATGCCTTGGTAGAATTCAAGCATAGTTCCACTAGCAGAAATTGATTGAACAAGATTATGGTACAAGCAAGGAGAACCAAATAGCAAGAACAATGAACCCTAGAGAAACGTTCCTCGGCTAACACCTGACTTATCCGAGTCAGCAACGGCAGGTGAAACGACAAGCACATGTGTCTTTCACCTGAGTTGGCAGTTTCTCAGGTTTACAGCTTTCAGAGTTGTTTACGTTTTTACTGTTAGTAAAAACGTGTTTCAGGTTCAGTTTCCTTACTGATTCGAATTCTCCTGGGGAGTACAATTTCCGAAATTCTCTGATTGGTCGAAATTTGCTGTTTCGCGATTGGTCGAAATTCGCGCACATTGCGAATTTTGGAGACAAGTACTTTTGTCGACCAGCAACGCTCTGCTCGACGGTGCCTGTTTCGAGCTTAATTCTGTCGACCAGCGTTTCGTCGAAACGCTGTTTTCTACCATTTCGTCGACCCGCAAGGCTCGATTTCGACGCCGTTTTGCTCCCCTCGACAAGTGCCTGGTCGAGAGGCAGTTGTGTAGAGCAGAAACAGCACTTCAATTTCGACGAAGTAATTTCGTCGAAAATCGACCCGTCAGTCAGAGATAAAAGTCCCTGAAGTCGCCGATGACCACGAAACGAACACAATTGTGCTCTGAAAAGCATGGCCGACTTCGCCCAAGCGAGGGCGGGGCCTTTTCTCCTCGACAGGGGTCCCGCGCGCGCCCCCGCCCTGTCCGTCGCGTCGCCCTAGGGGACCCGCGCGCTGCCCCCGCTGCCCCGTCGGTGGTCGCGTCGCCCCGCCACCCCGTCGCGCCGCCCAGGGGAGCCACGCGCGACCTCCCGCTGCCCCGTCGACAGTCGCGTCGACCCGCTGGACCCGCGCGCGGCATCCCGTCGACCCTCGCGTCGCCCCCGGGGACCCGCGAGCCGCCCCTGGAGCCGTGCGCGACCCCCCCGCTGCCCCGTCGCGGCGCCCTGGGGGGGCTGCGCGCGGCCCCTCGCTGCCCCATGGTGGCGCCCTGGGGGCCGCGCGCCGTCCCCCGCGCTCCTGCCCCGTGCCACCCGTTTTAGGGTTTGGGGGTGGGGAGTGTGGGGGTGGCGGTTGTGGGGGTGCCGGTTGTGTGCCCCGTCCCCTACTCCTCCTCCTCCTCCGTCTCCCGCTGCTGCAGCTGCCGCTCAGGGGGGTGGGTGTGTGGGAGCCGAAGGAGTGGTGCTAGGGGGGTGACGTGGGAGTGGAGTTAGGGGTTCAGCAGGGGGTGTGTGTCAAGGGTGTGGGTCAGTTGGAGGAGGTTGTGTGGAGGTAGCTGTCGTGTCGCCTGCAGCGCCTGTAGTCCGTCGCCCTTGCTTCGGTAGCCAGTGAGCCTGTTGCACCAGTCGCCAGTGGGTCCGTTGCTCCTGCCGCTCGTCTTAGCCGCGGAGCCAGTCACTCCAGTAGTCCGTCGCCCTTGCTTCGGTAGCCACTGAGTCAGCCGCTCCTGTGCCCGTGCCTCTGCAGCTTCAGTCGTTGCCTCTCATCTTCTCTCCTTCCACAGTTCCTCCTCCTCCTCACTTGCCCGCTGTGATTACCTCTAGCTTTGCTTATTATTGTGAACTCCTGCTATGCCTGCTCATTGTGCTGATTACACCCCACTTTGGCTATGGGGGTGTGTCAGAATGTTATTATCTAGCCTGTAGTGGGGTGCTCTATAGCGGGTACAACCCAGTTCGGGTTGCTATATGTATCCCAACTGCTGCTAGTGAAACCCCTCTCCTTTCTTCAATTCGATTCCTGCCTAGTAATTCTAACCTTTTCTGGCCAGTGGGAGAGTGGATGGGCGAGATTCGCATTTGCATTTTTCTATATAAAGGTATTTTCTGCATTATCCTGACCGGTCGAGGAAAAAAGTCGCGACCATGGTTCTCTAAGGGTAAAGAAAAAAAAATCTTTTGAGAAAGGATAGTTCAACAGGCACACTTCCAAATCAGGGTAATCACTACGAAGCAACCCATAGCAAGGACAACCAGACATTTTACCCATTGGGGCCTGAACAGCGCAACAGCGAGAGAGCAAAAGCGCAACAGTGTAAAATTGTTTAGGCCAAACGAAAAAAGCAACCATTTGGGCAATGGCGAATTGTGTGGGGCGACGCCCATAAACGTAGTCACAGAAAAGAGAGAATGGCAATTTTCTTATGATTTTGTACACACGGTTTTAGGCCTTCTAGGTACAATGTTACACGTCCTTAGAGATTTAAACATCACTTCACGCCTTCCGCCACCCCCTTACCCCACTCTTCGCTCCCCCCCCTCCGCAACGCACCCCCCAGCGGTCGCGGTCGCGAGGACCTGCCCTCCGCGGCCGTCGCGCCTGGCGCCGCTCGCCGCGGGGCGGATCGTGGCGTGCGACGAACGCGCGACAACTTGCTTCTGGCGTCGCCAACGCTCGTTTCGCGCGCTGAAATTGTCGATATTTTCCCTCGCGAGGCGTCGCACATGTGTGGCGATGGCGTCGCAACGACATCGCACTGGCGATGGGAGGAGTGAGAGTGCGGATGCAGGGGAGGTAAGAGCACGGAGCGAGGGCGCGACCGCGTGTTGGGGCGTGGGGCGCGCGCAAGGAGGGGACGGGGCGGGAGACGGGAACGGGCGGGAGAGGGCGATGGGAAAGGGCGAGGGGGAGCGGCGGGGGAAGGGGCGAGGCGCGAGGGAGGAGCGGGACGGGCGCGGCAGCGGGCGCGGGGCATCACGGGGGCTGGCGGGGCTGGAGACGGCGGGCGCGCGCGAGTGCGTGGTGCTGGTGGCGGCGGCGGCGTGGATGGTGGCACGGGTGGCGCTGCGGGGAGTGCTGCCACGCGACACCGTGGCGACTATGGCGGCTGTGTGGGCCGCCGCTGTGGGCGCTGAGTGCTGCGGGTGGGGGACGGCCTTCCGCGTGCTGCAGCCAAGGTGGGGAAAGGGGTGGAGGGAGTTGGGGGTTTGGGGGTATGATGGGATGGGGATCCCAGGTCGCCTGCATGTGCTGTGCTGCCAGGTTGCTGTGCTGCCAGGTTGCTGTGCTGCCAGGTTGCTGTGCTGCCAGGTTGCTGTGCTGCCAGGTTGCTGTGCTGCCAGGTTGCTGTGCTGCCAGGTTGCTGTGCTGCCAGGTTGCTGTGCTGCCAGGTTGCTGTGCTGCCCTCGTTATGGCTTCTCCTCTTGACCTGCCACTACCATCCCTGCCACGCCCCACCCATCCCTGCCACGCCCCACCCATCCCTGCCACGCCCCACCCATCCCTGCCATGCCCCACCCATCCCTACCGCACACCATCATCCCAGCCTGCTCCCCCGCACGCCCCGGCCCCACCAGGCTGGGCGCATCCTCGCCGGGGCTGCACCTCGCTGCCATCACGCCCTCCGCTGCCATCGCTGCTGTCTGCGCCCTGCACCGCTCTGCATCGCTCTCCACTGCTCCCTCGCCCTCCCCCTGGCTGCTGCTCCTGCTGCATGCGTCCCTGGCATCCGCGCTGGCTGCGCTGGTCGGCACGGCAGCCGCTGCCGGCAGCCCTGCGGTGCGCCGCGCAGCACTCCAGCAGTGGGCAGCCAAGGGAGGGACGGCCGAGGGCAGTGGAGGAGGGGAGGAGGGGGGCAGGAGAGGGCATGGAGGTGACAGGAAGAGGGGTGGCGGACGCGAGGACGGCTTCACGTGGGGGGGGCCGGGTGCAGCAGTGGTGGCGTTTGAGCAGCGCTTCTTCGGCGCCTGGCTGGCCGCCGGTGCCGCTGCCGTGCTGCTGCTCTCCACCTGCTATGCTGACGTGGCATGGCGGATGGTAGCAGGTGAGGTGCCGGCACGCATGAGGGAGGGAGAGGTGCAGATGGAATGCGAGAGGGAGGGAGAGGTGCAGATGGAATGCGAGAGGGAGGGAGAGGTGCAGATGGAATGCGAGAGGGAGGGAGAGGTGCAGATGGAATGCGAGAGGGAGGGAGAGGTGCAGATGGAATGCGAGAGGGAGGGAGAGGTGCAGATGGAATGCGAGAGGGAGGGAGAGGTGCAGATGGAATGCGAGAGGGAGGGAGAGGTGCAGATGGAATGCGAGAGGGAGGGAGAGGTGCAGATGGAATGCGAGAGGGAGGGAGAGGTGCAGATGGAATGCGAGAGGGAGGGAGAGGTGCAGATGGAATGCGAGAGGGAGGGAGAGGTGCAGATGGAATGCGAGAGGGAGGGAGAGGTGCAGATGGAATGCGAGAGGGAGGGAGAGGTGCAGATGGAATGCGAGAGGGAGGGAGAGGTGCAGATGAAATGCGAGAGGGAGGGAGAGGTGCAGATGGAATGCGAGAGGGAGGGAGAGGTGCAGATGGAATGCGAGAGGGAGGGAGAGGTGCCGATGGAATGCGAGAGGGAGGGAAAGGTGCATATGGAATGCGAGAGGGAGGGAGAGGTGCAGATGGAATGTGAGAGGGAGGGAGAGGTGCAGATGGAATGCGAGAGGGAGGGCTGGGGTGGTTTCCCTGGCCTTCCTAACATGGGCCGACTGTATCCCTTCTCACCCTCCCTTCTCACCCTCCCTTCTCACACCCCCCTTCTCACCCTCCCTTCTCACCCTCCCTTCTCACCCTCCCTTCTCACCCTCCCTTCTCACCCTCCCTTCTCACCCTCCCTTCTCACCCTCCCTTCTCACCCTCCCTTCTCACCCTCCCTTCTCACCCTCCCTTCTCACCCCCTTCTCACCCTCCCTTCTCACCCTCCCTTCTCACCCTCCCTTCTCACCCTCCCTTCTCACCCTCCCTTCTCACCCTCCCTTCTCACCCTCCCTTCTCACCCTCCCTCCTCACCCTCCCTTCTCACCCTCCCTTCTCACCCTCCCTTCTCACCCTCCCTTCTCACCCTCCCTTCTCACCCTCCCTTCTCACCCTCCCTTCTCACCCTCCCTTCTCACCCTCCCTTCTCACCCTCCCTTCTCACCCTCCCTTCTCACCCTCCCTTCTCACCCGCCCTTCTCACCCTCCCTTCTCACCCTCCCTCCTCACCCTCCCTTCTCACCCTCCCTTCTCACCCTCCCTTCTCACCTCCTTGATCAACCCCCCTCCTCACCTTCCCTTCTCACCCTCCGTTTTCCCCTCCGTCTGTGACATCCCTGCATGGGGGAGGCATTGCGTGAGCCTGCTGCCTGCCACCATGCAGGGATGCTGCTGCCATGCAAGGATGCTGCTGTGAGAAAACGTAAAGAGGAACCGATGGTTTCATTAGCAAGGGCATGGGTTTACATAATTGAGCTAAGATGTAAGAGCCATGCCAACATTATTGGTCCCCACCAATAAGTTTTGTTGAGGAATTATTGGAGGGACCAATAATATTGACCAAAAGTGGGTCCCAACCCAACCTTGGGGGCACAAGAATTGGGCCAAGGTTGGGTTCCAACCTCAAACTAGGGTAAACCCTAGTTGTGCACCCAAACTAAGTTTAAATGCCTATCTCGAACCAAAGCTTATATGATGATGCAGGTTACAATGAAGATGATAATCTGACAGCTGCTGCCATGCAGGGATGCTGCTGCGATGCAGGGATGCTGCTGCCATGCAGGGATGCAGCTGCCATGCAGGGATGCAGCTGCCATGCAGGGATGCAGCTGCCATGCAGGGATGCAGCTGCCATGCAAGGATGCAGCTGCCATGCAAGGATGCAGCTGCCATGCAAGGATGCAGCCCTGAGCTCATCCCACGTCTCTCCTTCTCATGCCACCTGCATAGGCCCTCCCTCTCCTGTCCTCTCTGTATGCGCCATCATGATCCTCTCTGTATGCGCCATCATGATCCTCCCCCTCCCCTGCGCCCTCCCCTGCCTCCTCTCCTTGCCCCTCCCCCCTGCCACCCCTCTGTGCGCCTGCCCTGCCCTCTGCGCCACTCAGCCAGTGTGGCGGCGCTGCACGTGCTGCTCTGCGCGCTGCTGCTGCGCACCTTGCTGCGCAACTTTCCCCGCAGCTTCACTCCCGGTGAGAGCGCAGCAGCACGTGCTTGGTGCGTGCGGGGCAGCACGTGGAACACGGGTGGGAAGTGGGATGGGCTCCAGGTGACTCTTCAGCAGCGGTCCCCCATGCATGCAGTTGTGGTGATTCACTCTTCAACTGACACACGTACTACTGCTTACTGGGTTCCTCCCTCTGCTCTCAACAACTTACTCACACCTTTCAGCGTCTCACTCTGCCTCTCTGCCTCTGCCCGTGCCTCTGCCCGTGCCTCTGCCCGTGCCTCTGCCCGTGCCTCTGCCCGTGCCTCTGCCTGTGCCTCTGCCTCTGCCTCTGCCCCTGTGTGCACCTGTGTGAGCATGCGACTACTGGCAGGCGAGGCGCTGCTGCTGGCAACAGGCACGTCGCTGTATGCAGTGGATGCCATCACCATCACCTGCTCTCAGGCACGCCCTCCCACCTGCACCCATGCCACCTGCACCCATGCCACCTGCACCCATGCCTCCTGCACCCATGCCTCGTGTACCCATGCCTCGTGCACCCATGCCTCATGCACCCATGCCTCATGCACCCATGCCTCGTGCACCCATGCCTCATGTCTCTATGCCTCACACTGACATGCTCTCCTATCGCCCATTCCCCACACTCATACATCACAGCATCATTCCGCATCAACATTGCTCAACTGTCATCTCCCCAACCCCCAATCCATCAACCATGGATCAACCAATCCCCCACGTGCTGCAGCTGCTGCCATCCCATGTGCTGCCGCCCGGCCTTCTCCCACCCGCACACCTCTCACCGCTTCCCGCCCACCTCTTTCTCGCTCGCGCCGATGCCAGTGTGCAGGTGACGTCACTCCATCCATCTCACAGCACGCGCTGTTGCGGATTGAACTGCCTTGTTGATTAGCCTGCTTCCGTCGTCACTGCATCATCCACCACCCAACACACCCCAATATCTTGTGTTGCCACCCAACACACCCCAATATCTTGTGTTGCCACCCAACACACCCCAATATCTTGTGTTGCCACCCAACACACCCCAATATCTTGTGTTGCCACCCAACACACCCCAATATCTTGTGTTGCCACCTCCCTGCACCCTTCAGGCCCTCGTGCTGGCGATGCTGCTGCTGCCTCTGCTCTCCTCCACCGTCTCCTCGCCTGCAAGCACCACGCCTGCAAGCACCACGCCTGCAAGCACCACGGGCCGCGGGCACCACGGGGGGCGCACGGCAGCATTCTACGCGGCGCTGCTGCTGCTGCTGGGCCACCTCGTGCCGCTCTGGCTCGCCCACGCCGCCCACGCCGCGCACGTTCCACCGCCCCCTATGCTCTGGTCTGCTCTTCACCGCCCCCTATGCTCTGGTCTGCTCTTCACCGCCCCCTGTGCTCTGGTCTGCTCTTCACCACCTCTTTCTTCCACTCACCCCTTGCTCATATTGCCTTCCTCTGATCCTTACGTCCCCACCTATCGCATGGCTGTGCTAAGCCCCCCCTGCATGCTCTTGCTGCTGCCTCCTCTCACATCCCTCACCGCCACTGCTGCCGTTAAACAACCCTCGCCTTCACCACCTGCACTGCATGTCTCGCCTTCACCACCTGCACTGCGTGTCTCGCCTTCACCACCTGCACTGCGTGTCTCGCCTTCACCACCTGCACTGCATGTCTCGCCTTCACCACCTGCACTGCATGTCTCGCCTTCACCACCTGCACTGCATGTCTCGCCTTCACCACCTGCACTGCATGTCTCGCCTTCACCACCTGCACTGCATGTCTCGCCTTCACCACCTGCACTGCATGTCTCGCCTTCACCACCTGCACTGCATGTCTCGCCTTCACCACCTGCACTGCATGTCTCGCCTTCACCACCTGCACTGCATGTCTCGCCTTCACCACCTGCACTGCATGTCTCGCCTTCACCACCTGCACTGCATGTCTCGCCTTCACCACCTGCACTGCATGTCTCGCCTTCACCACCTGCACTGCATGTCTCGCCTTCACCACCTGCACTGCATGTCTCGCCTTCACCACCTGCACTGCATGTCTCGCCTTCACCACCTGCACTGCATGTCTCGCCTTCACCACCTGCACTGCATGTCTCGCCTTCACCACCTGCACTGCATGTCTCGCCTTCACCACCTGCACTGCATGTCTCGCCTTGGCTCGTCGCATCAAGTTGTCCCCAGGTTGTCACCACCCGGCAACTGGCTCACCATCTCTCCTGCCCACTGCCCTCCTCTCGCTGCTCCTCCTTACCTCCACTGCCCTGCCTCCTTCCTCCCTCTTACTCTTACTCTTCACTGCACGCCTGCATTCACTGTGCTGACCTGAATCTCTTGGCTCTCCTCGCCCCTCCCCATGCCACGACGCACTGCAGGTGGCTGCGGGAGGTGATGGGAAACGGGCCTCTGTGGCGCTACTGGCTGCTGCTCCTCTTCCTCCTCCTGCCGCTTCTCTCCCGCCTTGCCCGCTCCTCCTCGCGCACAACCCACACCATCCCCTCTGTGGCCCCCCTGTCCGCTGCTTCGCCCACCCCATCCACTGGCCCCACTGTCCCCCCCACGGCGGCCCCCCCACTGCCCCACGTGGTGCCCCACGTGGTGCCCCACGTGGTGCTGCGCAAGGCCTTCCACGTGCTCGCCCTCGCGATGTTCCTGCCGCCCATGCAGGTGATGCATGCTGCTGCAGGTGATGCATGCTGCTGCAGGTAACCCATGCTGTTGCAGGGAGAGTTTGTTGAAAGTGTCGCAAGGAAGAGGGTGGTGAGACGGGAGGGAGTGTGAAGTGGGGACAGAAGGCGTCAATCCAGGAATGGCTGAATCTCATTTGCAACGTTGTCAGGCTGTCCAACTTGCTTCAATTTCATTCTCACACCTCACCTGGCATAATCTGCTTCACAGAAGCTCCCTGCTCCTCATCTCCTCCACCCCACTCCTCTCCCCTTTTCGTCCTTCCCCTCTCCCATTCGACCCTCCCCTCTCCCCTCCCCTCTCCCCTCTCCCTCCAGCCCGTCTTCCTCCGCCTTGCCTTCGGCGTGTGCTTTGCCTTCTTCCTCCTCTTGGAAGCCATGAGAGTGAGTCGCCTGGAAGCCACGAGAGCGAGTCGCCTTGAAGCCACGAGAGTGAGTTGCCTGGAAGCCACGAGAGTGAGTCCTCTTGAAGCCTCGAGAGTGAGTCCCCTTGAAGCGACGAGAGTGAGTCACCTTGAAGCCACGAGAGTGAGTCGCCTGGAAGCCACGAGAGTGAGTCGCCTTGAAGCCACGAGAGCGAGCCGCCTGGAAGCCAGGAGAGCAAGTCGCCTTGAAGCCACGAGAGCGAGTCGCCTGAAAGCCACGAGAGCGAGTCGCCAGAAAGCCACGAGAGTGAGTCGCCTGGAAGCCACGAGACTGAGTCCCCTTGAAGCCTCGAGAGTGAGTCCCCTTGAAGCGACGAGAGTGAGTCGCCTTGAAGCCACGAGAGTGACTCCCCTTGAAGCCACGAGAGTGACTCGCCTTGAAGCCACGAGAGTGACTCGCCTTGAAGCCATGAGAGCGAGTCGCCTGGAAGCCAGGAGAGCGAGTCGCCTTGAAGCCACGAGAGTGAGTCGCCTGGATGCCACGAGAGCGAGTCGCCTGGAAGCCACGAGAGTGAGTCGCCTTGAAGCCACGAGAGCGAGTCCCCTTGAAGCCTCAAGAGTGAGTCCCCTTGAAGCGACGAGAGTGAGTTGCCTTGAAGCCACGAGAGTGAGCCACCTTGAAGCCACGAGAGTGAGCCGCCTTGAAGCCATGAGAGTGAGCCGCCTTGAAGCCACGAGAGCGAGTCGCCTTGAAGCCACGAGAGCGAGTCGCCTTGAAGCCACGAGAGCGAGTCACCTTGAAGCCACGAGAGCGAGTCGCCTGGAAGTTACGAGAGCGAGTCGCCTGGAAGCCACGAGAGCGAGTCGCCTTGAAGCCACGAGAGCGAGTCGCCTGGAAGCCACGAGAGCGAGTCGCTTGGAAGCCACGAGAGCGAGTCGCCTTGAAGCCACGAGAGTGAGTCACCTTGAAGCCACGAGAGCGAGTCGCCTTGAAGCCACGAGAGCGAGTCGCCTGGAAGCCAGGAGAGCGAGTCGCCTGGAAGCCAGGAGAGCGAGTCGCCTTGAAGCCAGGAGAGCGGGTCGCCTGTCAGCCACGAGAGCGAGTCGCCAGGAAGCCACGAGAGCGAGTCGCCAGGAAGCCACGAGAGTGAGTCCCCTTGAAGCCTCGAGAGTGAGTCCCCTTGAAGCCTCGAGAGTGAGTCGCCTTGAAGCCACGAGAGTGACTCCGCTTGAAGCCACGAGAGTGACCCCCCTTGAAGCCACGAGAGTGACCCGCCTTAAAGTCACGAGAGTGACCCGCCTTGAAGCCATGAGAGCGAGTCGCTTGGAAGCCACGAGAGCGAGTCGCCTGGAAGCCAGGAGAGCGAGTCGCCTTGAAGCCACGAGAGCGAGTTGCCTGAAAGCCACGAGAGCGAGTCGCCAGGAAACCACGAGAGTGAGTCGCCTGGAAGCCACGAGAGTGAGTCGCCAGGAAGCTACGAGAGTGAGTTGCCTGGAAGCCATGAGAGCGAGTCGCCAGGAAGCCACGAGAGTGAGTCCCCTTGAAGCCTCGAGAGTGAGTCCCCTTGAGGCGACGAGAGTGAGTCCCCTTGAAGCCACGAGAGTGACTCCCCTTGAAGCCACGAGAGTGACTCCCTTTGAAGCCACGAGAGTGACTCGCCTTGAAGCCACGAGAGTGACTCGCCTTGAAGCCACGAGAGTAATTCGCCTTTCTTGACCCGGAGTCTGACTCCCGTCGTGCGGCCAGTCCCACTGTTACGCGTCTCCTCGCTACAGTTGTCACTGACCCGACCTTTGAGTCCTCTGCTGCGTCTGCTCTAGTCGCTGAGTTGGTTGACTTTGCTGCTCGCTGTCGCTTAGACTACGCTGCCAGCCTTGTCGCTGAGTCTGAGTCTGAGTCTGCCTGTCCTCCGTCCGTCGGGGGTGAGTGTGCTCTTGGCACGGACGTCCTTGAGGACAGACAGGAGGAGTTCCAGTGCTTTGCTGCTGCTTTGCCCCATCTCGTGTCCATGCTTGTTGCCCCTGAGGGAGACCCGGATGCACCAGACATCCCGACCCCGCGCTCTTACGCTGAGGCGATGGCGGGTCCCTACTCCTCTCAGTGGCAGACAGCCATGGACGCAGAGATGGCTTCCTGGAAGTCCACAGGCACCTACGTCGACCAGGTTCCCCCTCCAGGGGCGAACATCGTCAGTGGCATGTGGATTTTCAGGGTGAAGCGGCCGCCGGGTTCTCCTCCTGTCTTCAAGGCACGCTACGTGGCTCGAGGCTTCAGTCAGCGAGAGGGAGTCGACTTCTTCCAGACCTTCTCCCCCACCCCGAAGATGACCACTCTTCGGGTGCTGCTGCACATAGCCGCTCACCGCGACTACGAGCTTCACTCACTTGACTTCAGCACTGCTTTCTTGCAGGGCAGCCTGCACGAGGAGATCTGGTTGCGCCGCCCTCCTGGCTTCACTGGGTCGGTTCCTCCTGGCACCCAGTGGAGGCTTCAGCGGCCGGTCTACGGTCTCCGCCAGGCGCCACGTGAGTGGCACGACACACTGAGGACGACGCTTGCGGCTCTTGGGTTCGCTCCCTCTACTGCTGACCCGTCGCTGTTTCTACGCACCGACACCTCGCTGCCGCCGTTCTACATCCTCGTGTACGTTGACGACTTGGTCTTTGCCACTGCTGACACAGCGGCACTCGCCCACGTGAAGTCGGAGCTGCAGAGGAGACACACGTGCACAGACCTGGGTGAGCTGACAAGCTATCTTGGCTTGCGGATCACCCGGGACAGAGCACGGCGCACCATCACCTTGACTCAGTCACACATGGTGCAGCAGGTTCTCCAGCGCTTCCGCTTCACGTACTCCTCGCCTCAGTCCACTCCTCTGCCTACCGGTCACTCGCTCTCAGCTCTGCCTTCGGATGAGTCCGTAGAGCCGAGTGGCCCGTATCCAGAGCTTGTGGGCTGCCTCATGTACCTGATGACCTGCACTCGACTTGACCTTGCATACCCCCTTAGCATCTTAGCACGCTATGTCGCTCCTGGCCGTCACAGGAAGGAGCACATGGATGCTGCTAAGAGGGTGTTGCGCTACTTGTGCAGTACGTCGGGCATGGGGCTTGTGCTTGGAGGGCGAGACCGGGTTGTTCTCACAGGGCACTCAGACGCTTCTTGGGCAGACGACCAGGCTACTCAGCAGTCGTCACAGGGTTACACCTTCAGCCTTGGCTCTGGCTCAGTTTCTTGGCGTTCTACTCGTTCGTCTTCTGTTCTCAGCTCCAGTTGTGAGGCTGAGATCTACGCCACAGCCATGGCTGCTCAGGAGCTGCGCTGGCTGACCTACCTGCTGACCGACCTCGGAGAGCGGCCTCGTTCTCCTCCAGTGCTGTACGTCGACAACAAGGCTGCCATTGCCTTGTGTGAGGAGCACAGACTGGAGCACAGAACGAAGCACATTGCCCTGCGGTACTTCCTTGCTCGAGAGCTGCAGCAGCGCGGTCAGCTTCGTCTGCGTTACGTGGCCACTGAGGCCAACACTGCTGATGTGTTCACCAAGGCACTTCAGCCTTGTGACCATCAGCGCTTCTGTACTCTGTTAGGCCTTGTGCCTACTTGTGTGGAATCCTCGAGATCCACCCTGAGCTTGTTTGCCTTGCTTTGCCTTGACTGGTCTTGTGACCCTTAGGTCTCCACCACTTTGCCTATGGGGGTGTGTCAAACATTATATATGTTGGGTTTGTTAGGCTACAGTGGGCTAGACTATATGGGGTACACTATTCTAGGGTTTGTATTTGTACTGCCTTCCCTGTTAGTTCAGTCATTCCAGTCTCGTAATCTTGACAGACAAGGACCTGCAAGAAGAGCTATGGCGGTGGTGCCATGGAAGGAGATAGTGCCTGAAAAGGAGAATGGAACCTGCGGTTGCAAAGGGAAGTGTGTTGCAAGGGCTGCTGCGGAAGTGAAGGAGCTGAAAGCTACGGTGGAGATGCTTGTGCAGGAGTTGCACGAGGTTAATGCTCGACTTACAGCAGCTGAAAAGGGAAATGCAGCAGTGGTTGATAAGAAAAATGGTGTTGAGATCAGGGATTGACTCGAGCTTTCAGTTGAATAACTGAATCTCGAGCTTTGACTTTTGTGACGTGGCGAACATGATACTTCGCTAGAAAGTCA